TTGTCAAGTCCGGGCGGGTTAAATACTTTTTATAGGTACTGTACTTAGTAGAGTCTTTGTAATAAATAAAGCAGAATTTTACCTGGACTGAGGGACAGTTTTGTCGACAAAAAGGAATATGGCTTTTTCAGAAGGCAGCTGGATCCGCTTTCTGATGATCCACATGAACTGAGCCACTGTAATGTCAGACGGGACCAGATACTTTCGCTTGTCAATGTCCACAATCTGTGAACCAGAAACTTTCTCTACAATAACCTGATAAACACAAGAGAGAGCAAACAAAGGCAGTCATATGTTATAAAGCATGCACTTTTTAATGATGATGTGAAGGTGTTTTACTGCTTTGACTGCTGCGCACACACAGAATCAGCAACGAGTGGTCCGTTCACACCAAGAGAGAAACAAGCATCTGTCGGCTTTAAATCAAAAGCTAATTCACTTAGCACAAGAGATGGCACAAGCTGCAATGCACTTTCAAGCTCAACAATTATTGTTGCAATAAATATAAAAAAGGAAACAAAGACAAGACATTAAAGTCATTTGTGTATTTTGTATGGTGGAATTTAATCACAGCTGACAGCAAAAACATTCAGTGTTAAAAAAAAAACATTCAAACTTCACCGTTTTTCTATGAATTTTGATTTACTTGGAAAAAAACGTTTTTTTTTTGCAAGATGAGTAAAGAGGGCCATTGCACACCCAGGTTAAAAAAAATACTTATTACATTTGGGTTATTAATTGTAGTACTTATTACAATTAGTGTGCGAAAATAGAGCACTTTAAGTACATTATGGAAGTGTACTTTTTTTTTAACCTGGGCAAATTCACATCTGTCCCATCACTGTCTTTCATCATGACACAATGTTCACACATTTTGTTTCTTATCTTCAAAAATGATTTTTATGAACCTCAAACACCAATGACTTGTACATTGTACATACATATAGACACTTCCAAAACTGTTGCAACAGGCACAATTCCCTAGAATATCATTATATGCTTAAACATTAAGATTTGTACTCGTGGAAATTGCTAAAGTAGTCAAACCTGTTCATTAGAAGGAAGTGTCTCAATACTTTTGGCAGTATAGTGTATATATGTGTATGTGTATATACAGTGGGGAAAATATTAATTTGATCCCCTGCTGATTTTGTAAGTTTGCCCACATACAAAGAAATGAAGGGTCTGTTATTTTTATGGTAGGTTTATTTTAATGTATAGAGACAGAATATCAACCAAAAAATCCAGAAAAAACATGA